TGCACGTGTAAAGTATTAATTGATACGTAGAATGAAATATAACTTTGTGCGAACAGTTACGTATAAATGTTAATTTTCAAATGTACACCATTATATGCTTTGAGGAATATAAGATAACGATTAAATTAAAAAGAAAAAAAGTAATATCTATTTTATATGTAAAACCTATAACGATAGTGAGAAAATTTCTACGAAATGTTTTCCGCATCAGAAATTTACCGTTAGGTACGGGGTAATAAAGTAAACGACCCATTTAACCAATATTTAGTGACAACTTGAAATTTCCTAAATTTTCAAGGAATATTTTTATCTTTACTTTCCACCACGATTCGTCCATTGTTATTTCTCTACGTTTATTAATTTTTTTTTCCTTTCTCTCTAACGAAATATCAAACGAGATATACAAGACATTCGATTTTTAATTTAATATTTAATATTTAATATTTAATATTTTTTTTTCATTATTTACATACAGAATTTAATACAGAAATTATAAGTACATTAAGCACTGGTAACTTTTTTTAACACCAATGAAATCTCTTACGTTTAACCACTGAGATCCTTGTCACTTTCGAATAAATTACACTGTTCTCCACGGTTTTCTGCAAATATTTTGAAAAGATATCGTTACAACGATTTGTACAGGTAAGAAAAGATTGGATTAAAATTAGAAAAATTTAAATCGAATCATCCTGTAAAAAAATGTCCTGGAAAAAAGCGCGATAACTGATTCGTTTTATCTTGGCGATGATTATTTTATCATTGCGATAAAAAATGGGAAAGAAAATCTTTCTATTTATCGTTAAAGCGAATTTTTAATTTACATGCAATTTATATCTAATCTAAAATTTTTGCACTTGCAAAAAAAAAAAAAAAAAAAAAAAGAAAAAAAATCATCGAACGGAAACAACTAAACGCGGGGATAGGATTCTGTTGTATTTATACCACTTGTAATTGCTATTGTCTCCCGCAATTTTTCTTACAGTTGAAATAGAACTTACGTTTGCACTGTTTAAATGGATACCTATCGTAATAGCTCGGTGACAAGCAATTAATAATAGTGAAGTATCGATTGTGAGACAAGCCGGTGAAATACTGGCCATGTTCCCTATGTGCAAATGATTTTAAAGGAGAGTAACACGTCAAACGGACATATCTTTCTCCGGAATGGTTTCTCAATCGTTGATTTCGGTTGCCGTTCGAACGTGCATAAGTAATGCATGCACGAAATGGAAGTCCCCGTTTTCTTGATCTATGTCGTGCGCATAACATAATTGCCCCCAAATGCGATAAGAAAAACCATATTAGGTTTTTCTTTTCGAAATTGTAACGCGATATGTGTATACGAACGATGACCTTGCAATGCCTGTGTCATTAAAATATACATCATTGGGAATTATCAAGATCGGTACGTACGTATATTAACATAACGCAACGAAAATTTCCTGTTAGATTATTCATTTCTTTCGCTTCCTCGTGTCTTTCCCTTTTAATTGCCGCATATGCATAATTGCACATAATGCATACATATTTTTCTTAATTATTCGATACGTATTTGAATGGAAACGTTTAATTTAAGCTATTTGTAAGAGAGAGAGAGAGAGAAAAAAATATTTTTTTTTTTTTTCAAATAACATAACACAATTTTTGTTCCATGTATTACGCATTTTCTTAGACACAAGGGAGGGGGG